AAAAAAAAAAAAAAAGTTTTTAACATTTAGATACATTTTAAATTAAGTTAAATTAAATGAGATGAGATCGTTTATTCAAGAGTTGTTAGGATGATACATTTTTGTAAATAATTATCGAAATTAAAAATATTTCATCAAGTTATTTACCATTTTTTTTAAACTATATTAAAGATTGTAATTAGAATTTTTATGGTAAATATTTTCACTTTTCGAAAGTGAAACTTGTGGAGAATTTATAAAGACAAGAATGAAAGAGAAAATACTTATATATGTAAACGAATTTGTAAATATGCTCTGGAAAAATTTACAACTTTCCTGGTAGATAAAAGGCAATTGATTCAACGCGAAAATTTAAACAATATATCATAAAAGTGCTTTTACATCGTCGATAATAAGCTTTCTCGCGTTTTGTTTGTAGTTTCTCTAAAATAAACGATTCTATTTTCTTAACATTGTTTACAATATGATTTTGCGGGAATTTCTTCGTTCAAAAAATTAAAAATATTTTAATTTTCTTTTGTCTTATGAGATTGGAATTGTATCAAGCAAGATGATGCGGAATATTAAATGTATAACATTCAATTATAAGTATTAAAGGAAGGAAAACAAGATATTTTGTTCAGGAATACTAATATCACAAAAATTTACAATAATTGATATTCATTATTTTAAACACAGAAGAACAAAAGCTACAGTATTTTTCATTACATATAAGTATCAAAATTTAAAATAAAAAAGTTAAGTGCAGAATATTTTATAATCAAAACTTTAGTTCAATGATTGATATTCAATTCTAAGCATTGAAAGCATTGAAATTTTGTTTATAGCCATCATGAAAATTTGGAATAGAAAAAAAAGATAAACGCAGAATATTTTATTCAAAATATTCAACGAATATAATAATTGAGATATCTCGTTCATGACGATGCATAAGTGATATCTCTCGTCCAAAATCGTTTAATCGCCCATCATTGGTTCACTAAATAAAAGCGTCGTGATTGCGAGGATATTGTTAACCGGCGATCCTCTTGGCCATTCACTCGAACGATTATCCTCCCTTCTTTCCCTCCATGGCTGGAACAATGAGCGTTTTCCATTTTTTCGATTTCTTCCGCTTTGAATTGGCGCGCGCTCGCCCACGTCCGCTTAAAGGGACTTCCGTCGCCGTTATGGAAATCCGCCAATGCAGTTTGCACGTCTCGAGCCGCACCTGATTAGCATTGAACGGGAACAATACGAACGGCAGGAGCCACTTTCGCGTTTCGTTGTTTTCAATCCGTCCCTTTCAATTGACGCGCCTCCATAGGTTAGGTTAAGTTCTTTCAATTTTGTTTTTGTAATTGTGGATCGCACATTGTCGTTCAAAAGTTTGAAAAAAAGTATCAAAGATCTCGTGTTAAATTTATTTATTAGAACGTTTGTTTGAAAATTTAATAGATAATAAGATAT